AGAACATTTTTAACAAAGAAACAAACAGATATAGAGTAAGGCAGAGCATAGATGAAATGACAGCCAGTCAGAGGAAACACATTAGAACCGAAAGATGAAGAGAACCTGTTATTGGCAGAACACTGAGAGAGATGAAGGGTGAGAGATGCAGGAGCATGAGGCCACTGCACTGCATAGCAAGAGACGGCGTTGGTGTCACCAGAGATGGAATGAGAGAGAGGGAGAGAGACAAAGACGGAAAGCGAGTGAGAGAAAGTGTTAAGCCCTGCACCACGGACGTGTTACAAATCCCCAGGGAGCCGGTGGCAGATCAGTACAGGATCAATCTGCTGCACCTCAGCGGGGATGCACTCCTTCAATTCCCACAGAGCGTTCATGTGTGTGCACGTGTACATCGTGATAATGTATGAGTGTGTGTGTCCGTGGAGTCGGAGCAGAGGCGGAGTGAGGAGTGGGAGGACGGAGGGAGGAGACGACAGTTGGGTGAGATGAAGCAGGCCGGAGAAGACATGAGTTCAACAGAGATAGATAACTCTGTCAGGTTCAGATATTTATCAACAGACAAGTTCAGACCTTATAGACTTTACAGTTTTAAGATGCAACCATCGTCCAGTGGCAATCAATAGATATGGTGTGTTTTTAATGCAGTAAAATGTGTACTCCTGTATTTGTCATCCATAAAAAAATGCTTATGGCATGATCCCAGGAATCAGGCCGCAGCCAGCTCTTAAGATAAATGACAGGAAACAGAACGAGTGATAGAAATCCCTCAGGGGAGATCAAGTTTAGATCAGTTTATCCCCTCCATCCTCCCATCATCGCCAGCAGAGCGAAAAAACATAACACTGACCTCAGATCAGTGTTTGGGGACACCGTGATCCGACTGCCTGTAACTCAATCTTATTAGAGCGTTAAGTCATTACCGCATGTACACACAGAGGCCCCACAATGCAATTAGCCATTAGCCCATCACACTGACAAAGCATGGCTAATTAGCAGATCGCAAGCGCACAGGGAGCAGAACAAAACATATTTAATATCCCCATCAACACTCTTGCAGTATATCATGTGTCAGGTACTCATTGGATATTTTTTTAATGCTTGGCCGAGCACGATTTTTAAAGAACCGGCTTGCATTTTTGAATAAATTTAAAACTGCCTTTGAAAACAAGATAAAAGATTTTTCACAAAGGACGACGAAAGTTAATCTCCTCTTCTATATCTTTCTCTGTTTGACTTCATCTTCTCTTAATAAATTAACTTCTCACCACGAAGGTCAAAACAAACAAACCAAAAGGATAAAAATGATGGGCTACAATGCAAATATCACTCTACACAGGTCTTTGGAAGGCTTCCCAGAAAGAGGAATCACGGACAGGTCTGTTTTAAATTCTGCTCTGATCAGCAGAAACACACCTGTTTGTTGTATAGTAGAAAGAGAGCTGCTCAGGTGGCTCTGACAGGGCCGTGGTACGTTGGCTCAAGTTGAGAGTTGAGGCAGAGTGTTAGCTGTGTTGCTCTCTTTGAGGGTGAAAGAAGTGGATTATGTTCGGTCAGCTCAGACCAGATCAAAGCAAAAAGTCTGACAAGAGGCGAGAAACCTCCCAGAGAAATATGTGCGAGCAGCCATGCACGAGCATGCACACACACACGCACACACAGAGCGAGAGTTATGTCTCCATGACTTCAGAGGACAGTGCGTTGATTTACCTTAATTTCCTGAAGACACCCTAACTTTAAAATATGTCTTAATGTCTTCACCTTAAAATGTAATTCATATTATGGGGACTTGTTTTTGCCCAAATTGGGAAAATACAAATCCTCATAATATGAACAGATTAAGGTCTCCACAACATGAGAAATACCTGGGTGTCACACACACACACACACACACACACACACACACACACACACACACACACACAGAGGGAGAGTTATGTCTCTCTGACTTCAGAGGACATCACGTTGACTTGAATTAATTTACTGGAGATTTACTTCTTAGCCATAACTACTACCTGACTCACCTAAACTTTGACCTTAACCTAACTTTAACCTGAATCTAACTTTAAAACATGTCTTAATGTTTTCAGCTTAAAATGAATGATTCATATTTACACACACTCATTTGTACTTGGATCTTAGTGAGGACACTCATTGATATAATCCACTCACTAGCCCCTTACTCTAACCTTTACCATCCAAACTAAATGCCAAACCCTAAAACCAAGTCTTAACCCTCAAACAGCCCAATGAAAAAGTGAGGACCGGGCAAAATGTCCTCACTTTCTAAGAATTACCTCGCTCAGTAGGTCTATGCTTAAAATTGTCCTCACAAAGATATAAGTACACAGACACACACACACAATTTGGCAGAGTACTGCCTGTCAGAATGCCAAAGACACCACTCTCCATAAATTTACTTTGAAGGAGTTCTGACTGGGTAATAGCTTGTATGGAAAACACTGTCACAAAAAAAAGCACTCACTCATACACACAAACACACATACATGATCGCGTTGCACGAACACAATCTCGAAGCCCCTTATTTATAATTGCATTCTTGACAAAAGAATTGGAAGGAGACACAGCACCACTGGCATTAATTAAAGAGAATCATATTTTATGAAGCAATTCTCAGGAAGTAAGTGCAGCACTGACCCTCCAGCCCCACCCCAGACAGACAATGTCAAATAAACTAACACAGTTAAATTAGGGCATAGACCAGACCAGTCTGGGCTAGGAGCAACATCACCCTACTAGCAACCCGCCTTAGCAACCCGTAAGTAGGCCTGTGTGTTGGCGAGGTTACTAGAGCAGAACTGGGCCTTGGACAATACTGAAAACACACACACTCTGGTTTCTGTGGGTATATGTGCCCTGTCACTGTGGTTGGATAAGCTTTTCGTGGTGCAACATGCAAACCCCAGACCTGGTGAGTACAATGTGTGGCACTCCTGTATTTCCTTGATATAATTCATGGCCGATTCAGCCAATGAGGACCCTGTTTGAATTCTGGAGCACCACACATATTGCTTCACCGGTCATGGGACAATAGAGAGAGAGAGGATGAGCTTGAGGCTGCACTGGGATCTCTTACAAACTCAGGTACTCGACTAGCCTGGCGCACACTGCACTAGGCTGGACTGGACTGTTTAATGCATACAGTCTGACCAAACAGTAAATCTGATAAATCAAAGCAGATTAGGAGAACAAGGTAAATCAAAAGAGGAGCAATTCAGCAAAGTAAAACAAATTGGACCTGACGACTCTAAACAGGAATTGATGGATCAGAACAGGCAGGACGGTGCAAAGCAGAGTGCAGGACCATACAGCAAACTCAACAGACAGATGGATCAAAACAAGCACAACAGTCTTTGTGAATGTACTAAATTCATCAAGTAATCAAATCTCTGAACTGAGTTTTATACAAAAGACTCAAGAAATGAGAGTGGCTTCAGTGTGTTTGTGAAGGCACATGTGTGCCTGTGTGGGATAATCAGACTACTTGAGGCAAAGCTTTAGATTGCAGCTTAGTGAGGGCTAGAGGAAGATGGGGATCATTGGCTGAGTGATGTATGCATTGTGTGTTGACTATCCATGCAAAGCAAAATGTGGTTTTCAGAAATAGGAGGAGAAGGAAAACAGAGGATGGGCGAAAGAAAGCACCACAGAGTCACGCTGCAATGGACTAACACGTGATTAGTGCACATGCAAAATGCACACATTCAATATTAGACATGTGCAGCATAGACACACCCTACTGCCCTGACTGGTTTCAGGCTTTCTGTGACATGAAGCTTTTGGGAAAACATGCAGGGCAGCACAAAGTGATGATTTAAAAATTAGGAGATCAGCATGATAAAAACACTTCATCAGAGCCACTTCAAGCCAAACCAGTCCAGTCTAGATCAGCATAGACAGCAGACAAGTCACCACCATGCTGCCCCTCGGCACGCTACCAAAGTCAGCTTTTAAATATTTCACCTCCCATTGATTAAGGTCAGGACTGAGCAGACATGCGCATAGCAGATCTTTGACCAGTGCTTTGGGGGAAAGTGAAGGACATTATGCTATATTACCCAGCAGGCACCAGGTGGTGGCGGTGCAGAGGACACCATGGCAACGCCATGAAAATGTCATGGCAACACCATAGCAACTGTGGCCTCATTTGCTCGCTGGTGGTGTGGTGCAGCCCAGACTTGCTACAGTGGCGTGGTCGTCAGATACACACTTCAGTCACATCAGTAATAGTAACATTGTTCATTAGTTATTTCATCAATCAATTAATTGATCATCATCATCAACAATCAGTCAAAAGGAGCAAGAACACAGTATCTACTGGTCTCTGTTTTTTGCTAAGTGATAGACAGAAGAATGAGCTGACTTAAAAAGAAAAGTGATCAAAGGGGGAAAAAAGCAAAGGCCAATGGATGTGTTGATCAGCAAAGTGATGCGATCACCATGTGATAAAACTTTAAAAGAGGAGAGGTGGAGGATGTTCATAGCTTTCTAATGAAAAGAAAAAAACAGGAGAAAGAACCGCAGAGGAGGAGAAAGCAAAAGAGACAGCAGACTGTGTGAGAGAAACATACTGATGTGTGAAAGCAGCAAGTGTCACAAAGTAATGTTAGGTAGTACGAGAGGAGTGACAGACTGATAGCTATAGTAGATATAGATGAATAGAGTTTAGACTTTTACTTGTCTTTTTTGTCACAGGCACTAATGTCTTCACAGTCATATAGGAGGAATCGAAATTCAAAAATGATTTCAGTGTCTAGAATCGCTACAAAGCTAAAACATTTAAAACTATTTCATCTAACACTTCCTCCAAATATACCAAACTTAACTAATATATATATATATACCTGTATGTATATATATGTATATATTTATTTGTACAGATATATTTCTTTATAGATAAATGATATAATTCAAATGATAATTGAATACAATAAAATATCTCAGTTAAATCACAGTATAACATGGTACATTCTCAGAAACATAGTATATTTTAATATATTCTTTTTTCTCAGCATTTAATAAAATAAATAAAACAAAATAAGCCAGAGGGTTTTTTAAGAGTCACTTCTGTTCATGCAGTCACAGACTTAAGTATTAGCGCCTCAGTAGAAATCAATAATGCTCAATGACATACCAGGTTTAAGCCCTGTTGGTTGGTTGAAAATGACTGTGTTCTACTACACGTGAAGCAGTCGAACTGTTGCCGTGGGATCCACTGTCGGGGTGCAGAGTCAAGCGAGCGCACTACCTCACTGAAAGGTGGCCGCCCTGGGTCCTAAGCATTTGCTACAGTTGAACTACACAACCCTCCTGCCACAAATCTTTGAGATTTCATTCAGCAAAACATGCAATGACGCTGGAGTTTTCCAAAAGATGGGTAACGGCAAAAGCATTTCTCTAAATTAATAGATAAAATAAAACAAAGACAGATTGCTTTTTAAAAATTGCCCCATACAGACCTAGAAAAAAGCAATGCATGTGCAGATAATAAAAGTTACAGTCTGCTCTCACTGAAAGGCAAAGGAGTCAAAAGGGGAATTGAGAAGGTCGACTAACCCTTCGATCTGTGACAACATGCACAAACACAACGCACAGTCCCTCACATAGCAGGTCAACCCGCCCCCACCCCCCCTCCTTCGAGCCTTTATCAACAGCATCCAAAAAGCTACAAAGTCTAAAAGTAGGTGTTCTTTTGCTACATCATGTCAAAGCTACATTCAACTACAATAAGAAGAGCTGGGCTGTGGCTGGTCTTAGTGTGAGGGATGAAGTGGATGTGTTGACCTTATGAAAATCCAGAGTGTGTGTGCGTTGCAATGTTGGCAACATTGGCACCGTTTATAAAGTAGATGGCTTTTGGCACAGCTCACAGAAGGTTCAGTGCTACAGTTCACCACACTCTGTCGAATACACAGCATTTCATATTCACATTGGTCAACCGGAGCCAGGTGCTGCAGACTTTAACTCATTATTACAATCACATCTGATTGAAATAGGTGAAAACTATCTAGCTGTAAGAAAAAACACTGATTATGTTGAGCATCTGACTCTGGCTGAAACAAATGATCTCATTTTTTAAATAGACGACAAACAGTTACAATGTCTCAGATGCAAACAGATGTGCCATCACATCCCTGTCACATTGAAGATGGGAATATTGCTCAAAGTCAAACAGTCATCTGAAAATCTTGATAACAGGAGTTATTACTGACTGCCTTCAGCGAAGTCTCAGCTACTGTGTGTGCACCTAAAACCGGAACGTAAAAACATTCACAGTATATCGTTCAGTCTTATTTGCTGAAAGGAAATAGTCAAAGTACCAGATCGTTTCCTCAGCACAATTGTGTGTGGTACTGTGACTTGAACCTTGGTTACAGTGAATTACATTGTCCATAATCTGGAACATGAGTTAAGATTAACTGAACAGCTTTTCACGTACGAAAAATATGTTACCTGCAGATTGTGCAATTACAACTCGGGCCTGCATGTTCTGGAAAATACAATGAGGAATTGTGCTTCATATAATCCATCATCTACAAACTCTGCAAAGATGCAATAAAGTAGTGTAATACAATAATATCCTAAGAGAGCTTTTGCAATGCACAATTGTCTCCACAGCTTATTTGAATATTATGCAGCCATCTAGTGCCAATTACAGATATTGCACCAATCATCCCCTTGATCCACTTACATGATGGTGAATTATGTGTGTCTCACACGTGGAAAGAAAAGATGGGGCTTTATACTACGAAAACAAATTGCTTGAAAACCAATCTTGCTTAAAAGCTCTTGAGTGGAAATTTGGCACTGCTGTTGAATCATTCCCACTTCCAACACTAGCCACATCCAGCCTGCTCCTTATTAAAACACTAACACAGTGAGAGAAATATATTGATAGAATAAAAAAGAGGGGATGGGGAGATAAGTCTGAGTAGGAAAGAAAAGAAAAGACAGTCAAAGAAAACCTGCTACATGTCTTTTTTGTTCTTATTGTTATTTCTCTTCTCAAAGTTCAGTTTGTTGTTCAAATACACGACAAGCTCCGACAGGAAGGAGGAGAAGTGGTTCCTGTTCAATCTGACTGGTTAAAAGAGTTTCTAGTAAAACATGACATCACGTGGATGGTCCTGGGGTAGAGCTAGATGGGTCTGATGTTGTCATGAGGTCAAAGGGCAAATAAATAGCACTGTCCTTGCTGCCCAGTGAAAGGTTATCAGGCAGACAGAGGGCACGGGAGAGGTGACTGCATTGCTTTTTATATCAACTGATTTACCAAAGGGAAAAAAAAGGGGCAGTCTCTCCGACACCAAGGAGCCGTCCACTAATCCAGTTCAAAAGCCAACAGCCAATGAGGACAGGGAGGCAGAGTCTATTGACCAAACAACTGGCATCTTCTGGGAGAGGGTGGGTCCATCCACATCCCACCGAGGTGTGTTCTCAAAGCCAGAGGGAGGGAGACGTTGTGAGCATTCATCTGATTGTGTGTGTGTGTCTGCTGGGTGTGTGGGTTTGTGTGTACAAATATGACATCATTACTCACAGATTGGAGACTACTCATATCCATAGTTGTGACTCTGGGAGGGGAGGAGAACCGAAGATGACATCACAAAGCTCAATTCTGAGCGGAGGAGAAGTTCAGGGGCTGCTGTCCTCGGCGATGCAGCCTCACCTTCACTCTCGTCACCGTGGGAGCCATCCAGGCGGACATAGCTCAACCTGGTGTGGCGTCTCACTGTCGCTCTCACGAGAACTTGTACAATGGAGCGGGTGGCGGTAGCGTTGCTCTCACACAAAGTAGTGTTAGCAATAGCACTACAGTCCAAATTAGTTCCCGCAGTGATGGCCGCTAATTGATCACCTATGGTCACCAAGGCAGCTGTGTCTCTTGTGTTATCCCTGGCTGCAGCTACCATGGCACCATGGTTCTCATCAACAGTGGTGCTCGCTCCCACGTCTCCCTCTCTCCTCTCCCCCTGTCATACCTCACTCTCCAGGCTGGAGAAATGGGCTGACCCTCGGCGCGAGCACAGGCTCTTGGCTTTGAGAGGCAGGTGGGGGGAGTAGAACCTCCGCGGTTGTGGCACCGAGCGCAGTCTCTGATATTGGAGTTTGGCACTGGCCGAAGCCTGAGCCTGTCCCTGGCCCCCCATCCCTACCCCAGCAGGTGGCGAGATGGGGGATGTGGAGGGCGGAGGCGGGATGGGCATCGGGAGAGAAGAGGGAGACATGGACGACTGCTGGGGTGGCGACGGTGAAGGCTGAGGCGGATGGTCTGTGGGCTGTGTGCTGAGGCTGAGGCTGAGGTTAGATTGGCTGCCAGATTTGGACTGATCTGGTTTGGGAGGCAGAGGCTTGGGGCGGGAGACTCCGCTGAAGCTGTGGCAGTGGGGGAGAAGCTCTTCCTGGCTATGGGAAAGCGTAGTGGTTCCTCTTTTGGAGTGGGAGGTGTGTGAGCGACTGTGGGGATGCGGGTAAGGATGGGGCTGGGGATAAAGGTTACAGGAACACATGGTGGCTCGTCCTGCTTCTTCACCTCTGTCCCTAGATCTCCCCTTGCTCTTCCCTCCTCCACTCTTCCATTTTTTCTCTCCCTTCACCGGGATCTTATCCATTGACCAATATCGTCTAGGAGGAGGAAAGGCTGTTGGGGGTGGCGGCCACTGTGAGCTTAACCCCCCAAGCCCTCCCTCTGACCCCCAACCTGCACCTGGCCCTGAACCCCAGAAATCCCCGCCAAACCATCCCTCTGCCCGAGTTCCTAGTAAGGAATCATCCCTACTGTTGATACTGCCCCCTTTCTCTCTGGAAGGGTAGGTGCCAAAGAACCAGCCTCCTCCACCTATTCCTCCTATTCCCCCACTTCCAGATGCACCTCCCTCCCAATATCTTTCAAAACGACCAAACTCCCCTGATGAGCCCTCATCTGAGTAACTGTCGTCTGCCCTGGCTCTGTCCCTCTCTGACTCGGACACCGCCCCCCTACCTGCTCTCCTTCTCCTTTCCTCACGCTCCCTCAGTCTCTCTCTCTCCTCCTCTTCCTCATCATTATCATCATCATCTTCAGAATCCCACTCATGGAATGACAGTCCTTCTCTTGTCTGTGCTTTCTCTTTTTCATAATGCATTAACAAAGGACGCCGCTCTCCAACTCGGCCGCTATCGTCTCTGTCCATTCCTCCACTTCTTCTCCGCTTGGAGGATGAAAGTAGTGGATGGAGGGATGTTGGTGGAGTACTAGAGTTATCTCCTCTTCCATTCACCCAAAATTTGACTGATGCAGGGAGTTTGTGAAGGTTAGGATAGCGCTTGCTGGGGGTTCGATGTCTGGAATGGGAGCGTGAGGATTTGGGATGCCTGTCCCTGCTTCTACCACTGTCCTCCTCTTCCCTGTCATTGCCCTCATCTCCTCCCTCTCTCCTTCCTCTGTCTCTGTCTCCTTCCCAGGAATCTCTCCCTTTCTCCCCAAATGTGCTCCTATACTGAGCAGAGAAGGAGGAGTAGTCTTGAATTTCTCCTTCCCTGTCTCCTTCTGCCTCTCCTTCCCTCTCTGCCTCTACATCTCCTTCCTCTGGCTCAGATCGTTTCCCCCCAGTTGATTTCCTCCTTTTCTTTGTCTTCAGTGCCTTCTTTTTCTTCTTTTTCACTTTTCGCCGCTTCCTTTCTCTCTCTCGCTCTCTTTCCCTTTCTTCCCTCTTTTTCCTCTTTTTGTTCTTTTTCTTCTTCTTCTTCTCTTTCTCCTTCTCTTTCCTTCTTTTCTTTTCCCTTTTTTGCCTCTCAGAATCTCCGCCTGCTCCACTCCTTTCTCTCTCGCTCCAGCTTGCCCACCACTCTTGGAGTTGAGATAGTTGGCTCCCCCCTCTCTCCCTTTCTCTCTCTCTGTCACCCCAGGATGTTCGTGGTTTTCGGGGGGGTATGGGTGGTGGCAGGCGCCCGTGGCTGAAGGAACGAGGCCGGATGATTGAGCGTTCCCTGTCCCTCCCCCTACCGAGGAGGAGGCTTGACTCTTCTGTCAGCTCTTCATCATCATCATCATCCTCTCCATCTATTCCTCCAGTCCTGTCTCGTGTGCTCCTGGAGGAGCTGTAAGAGTAGGTGGGAGAGGTGGAGCGAGAAGATGAAGCAGATGAGGATGTGGAAGTGGATGAAGTGGTTGACGAAGAGGTCGAGGACGTATAGTGTAAGGACGCAGATGGAGAAGGAGGTGTATAGGAGGGGCTGAGGGGTACTGGCACAGGAAGTGAGAGCGGGGGAGAGAGCGGGCGTGCCCTTCTCCCTCCTCCCTCCCTCACTCCATCTCGTGCTGCTCCCCTCCGCCCCAGGGGCAGAATGTTCTCATAGAGTGGCCCTCCAGGCTCTTTGGGCTTCTTGGGTCTGCGTTTCCTCCAGAAGGATGAGGGGAGAGGGGGAGAGGGGTGTGGCAGTGGGGGTGTAGGAGGCAGAGGGGCCTGACTCTTAGGAGGCACTCTGGGAGTGCCCAGAGATTTAACGGCCCCTTTCCCCTGACCTCCGCTGCCACCTCCCACCACCCTCTTCCCCACCCCATGGTCCATGCCCTTTTCTGAGTAGAAAGCCACACTGGCTGGAGGTGGCTGGGGGTGGCCCCTGGGCATAGTCTTGGGGGTCTGGGACCCTGCCTGCTGCTCCATGCAGGGCCCCAGTCCCTCAGGGTCAATGGGACCATAGTATCTCTTATAACCATCGAGTCCCCCACCCCCTCCAGCACTTGGAGCCCAGTTTGGTGGGACTTTCTGAGCAAAGGGTCCCATGTCAGTGATGGGCCACCTTACAGCCATAGGGTTGGTAGCTGTAGCTGATTTGGGCAGTCTCCAGCGATCCACCACAGCCAGTCTACGATCTGGCCGAGGCAGAAAGGTGGTGCAAGGGAGGGGTGCGCCAGCAATGGGGGTGTTGGAGGGGCCCAGTGCTGTCCCAGAATGCACCATGGTGGGAGGTGAGCCTGGTAGAGGTGTTTTGTAGACAGTCTGTGGTTGCTGCTGTTGCGGGGGTTGCTGCTGTTGCGCCATGGCAATAACTGGGTTGGTCATAGACGTTGAGACAACATGTGGCTGGGATGGGACTGTCACCATTGCCGTATGGTGATGGGTGGGCAAAGATTTTGCTCCACCAGGTGCTGTTTCATCCTCAAAGCTGCAACAACTATACATTCCCTGAGAATAAGAGAATACATAAATTAACCCTATGTAAAATATATAATAATATAATAATAATACCTTATTAACTAACAAAAATGAAATGTAATAAACAGTATTTTCAGAATAAATTAAATGTTGCTTTGGGAATAATGGTGTAGAAATATAACGGTAAAAAGTTTAACAACATAAATGTGTACAGATGCAAATATGCCACACTCGTACAAAATACATGTTATTGAATGTACACAAGAGAAGGAGAAAGGGAGAGAGAAATAGGGAAGTGGGTGAAAATAGAAATCATAAAACAGCAACACAATTTAGTTCCAGTTTTCAAAAGAAATGCAAGATTGTTATTTTTCAGATAAATATCCATTTCAATATATAGTACTGCTGTGTATTGTTTGGTTCATGAAATGACATACATAAATGCATAAATCATAACCACAGTGGTGAAATGGGATAAATGATCAGTACAGCTACAATAATCCCATGCACATGGTGTGGGGGCTGTTTCTGTCAAGGTCACTGTCAAAGGAACAGGATATCCAGGGTGTGAGCAGAATTGAATTTCAATTAATCTTGCGAATTAACTGAGTGGAATTGAATTGACCCCAGACTCACACTTTCAAACACTCACACTCGGGTAACAGATAAGGGCACACACAGGCATGAACACACAAGGGTAGAAAATACACCACACAGAGAAAAAAAACACTTACCCTGCTGATTGCAAGGAGAAAGTCCAGTTTGCCAGAACTGGTGGCCATGCAGTGGCGCAGCTTCCAGTAGACCAAGTGTTCCCAGGCAAACACCAGCAGACTCAGGCCCATGGCCACCAGCAGCATGTAGAAGACCCCAGCCATGTTGTCAATATCCAGTTTACTGCTCATCACCTCAATTTTGTCATTATGGCAAATACCAGACAGCCAGAGACGCTCCAGCATCTCAATCTCATCTGGAAAGGGAACGGAAATGGATAAGGTTAGAAGGGGGTGATATTAAATAGGCCTCACAAAGAGAGAGAGAGAAATGGAGGGAGCAGAGTAGACAAGGAGGACTGAAGTGCACAAGGAAAGAAAATAGGAAAAGACAAGACAAAAGGGTTAAGGGATGAGAGAAGGGATCATGTTGGATAGAAGAATTAAGGCTGGGAGGCTTGGGGTTATTTCAAGATTGTACAGAAAAGCAGACAGAGAGAGATAGACGGAGATAGCTAGGTATGACAGAGATAATAAGCAGTAAAGTCCAGGTACACAGTATTTCCTGGTGTTGGCCCATTATCCAAGGTGTCTCCTCAAGTTCAGAGGTCAGTAAATCCAAAAAGCAATGCAGTGTCCGAAGTAACAAAGAGGAAGGATACTGAGACACAGAGGGAGAGAGTCCGAAACAATGAACTAGCACCGAGAAGTAAAATGGCACCGACAACCTAATCTCAACATTGTTACCTCGAGTAAATGAGGAGAGGAGGAAAGAGGGAGACCAGGAGCGACAGTGAGAGGGTCGGGTTGAATGAGCGTGGAAGAGGGGGAGAGAAGTAATAAGAGAGTTGGGAAGAATATTTTATAAGGAGACTTTTCTAAAGAGAGCGAGGGAGAGGTATTCTTTCTCTGTCCGCAAGTGCATCAAGGGAAATGAGACAGACAGAGAGACAGAGGGAGTTAGAGGGAGCGGGAACAAGGAAAGCAGAGATGGAGGACGAGAGGCTGAGATTGTGTCATTATGACAAACAGAGGGAACACTCCTCGGCTTGAGGATAAGAGGAGAGGAAAAGAGGGAGAAGTGTGAAGAGAGAGTGAGCACCGATAGGGAGGGACAGAGACAGAGGCGGAGGGGAAGATCATAATCATTTAATTGTGCTGGAGGGATGGTCAGAATCTCCATCAAGGTGGTAAGCTCTTGGGGATTCAAGATTCCCATCTGTTAACCTACCAGGAACCAGGCAAGACCACTTTAACGCACAACTCTGCCTTTTCATTTAAGATCTCACCGGCCTTACGGAGCCACACTGCACTAAAAGTTTGATTGGATGTGGCAGCTGCCGGTGTAACCATAGTGATGGACAGCCAGAAGATGCGGCGCATGATTCACAATGGAATTAAAGAGGCGTATTCTTCAACAGGACTCGTAATGAGAGCTTTCTGTTACACTAATGGAAATGGCAGGATGAGCAGCGCTGCAATAACCAGGTCTGAAGGTTGCATTTTACTGCATATTACAGTCTCCGAACTAGTCAAGTCAAACGGGTGGAGCAGGGTTTAAATGCTGACAAGTTGCACATCCACCTGCAACACTGCAGAAACTTGAACTCATGCTTTTCATTCGTGCCGTCATTAGCCGTTGCTCGTGTAGCTTAGATGAAGCCGACTCACTCATCTGTGGGATGTGGCTAATGTGTCTCCTGTAGAACATCATTAGCCAATCAGCCGTGGCCTCCAGCTTGAGCAACAGATGGACACAGAGCTACTGCAGCTCACAAGCAGACTCAGGTAACAAGTCCCCGTCTCAGATTCGCTCACATACATCCTGAGACACAAAGGTCTGTTTTCAACTACAGAGCCGAGCCCCACTGAGCAGGATTTATCGGTGTCATTGACCTTCAGTCGCAGCGATGTGTCCAAACAGGAGCCTGATGTGAAAATGGCGAGTGTCTTCGTGAAGGGTGCAGATAAACAGGTAGTCTCGTGTCTGGCCTCCACTTCACAAGTCCCAGCCAAATCCTTTCTGTAAGCTCTAAGTCTCATCTCCTGGCTTTTCCTGCCATTTGACTTTCAGTGATTCATCTTGTGCGTCTTCGTCTCCCTCTTTTACAACCTGACTCTCTTCTCGCTGCGCCTAATTCTTCCCTCCCTCAGACCTTTGTGATGGCACTTGTCTCTACCTCTCAGTCGCAGCCAGCTCAGGCCTGCCAAAGCTGACAGGTGTGTCAAATTCACACTCCACCTCTGTCGTTCCTGGCAGGTCAGGTCAGGTAGAGTTGGCACGCTGCAAACGCAAAGCTGGCATGCACCACAAAGACATTATTTAATAAAGGAAACGGTATTTGCGTGTCTCCATGTTTGTGTGTGTGCAAGTGGCTGTGCATGTTTTCACTTTTTGTAGTGTGCCAAATGTGGCACTACACCAGACGCCGAGCTCCACAGTTGTTGAGCAGCAAACCATGACCCGTCCAATCCCCTGCTTTTATCACAACATGACAAAATAAATAAAAATACCTATGCAAAAATATAGAGGTGGATCTGATAAGAAGAAAGAATAAAAACTCTTGCTGCTCTGGAGTTTTTCTCTTTATCAGGAAACAAGTTGTAGTGAGATCAATGGACCATCTATTAAAGCTGTGGTATGAATCACCAGAGGCTACAACGAGCAGAACAATACACTCACAGGGTTGACAAAGCAGCGGCGCACTCCTCTAGTGTCCCTCTCTCCTCTAATGCAGTTGTAAAATGATATGACTCAACACAGCATGGCACAATAATGATGTAACACTGTGACATGATTTAGCCCAGCTGAAGGTGTGATGCTGAGTCCTTGAGCCGCGGGGTGATTGTTGAGAGGGCACGCTGAATGTGAGCCCCCCACTCCCTCCCTCCCTTCCTCCACATCTAAACAAACTAATCCTCTTCCTTAGTAATCCACTCCAATAATGCCTACATATAACTAGAACCCTCAGCATTCAACACCACCCTGTAACCAGATCCATGCAGCTTACACAGCTGATGTTTGAGCTTTTGCTGCACAAGGACAAGGGCATGCACCAAGAATTTAAACAAACAACAGACACAGCCATGGGTGTCTGGGCTCTAAGTTTTTTCTCCACATGCAGACACACATCCCTCTTTCAGCTCCAGACGTCAGTCTTGTTTAATAGATCTTGGCACCAAATTGGCATTATCAGTGTGTAAGCAGCTAAAGTGTCTGCACGCCAGAAACAGCTAGAGGACTTTGTCCGCCACGCCATAAGCAAAGCTGATTTAAAACATGAGGATAAGCCAAACAGGCAGCATCCGATTGAGACAATAAATGTGTGTGGCGGACTGTGTAAAATGACAATCGAGCATTTGTGTTGTGGCAGCTATTGCTATAAACAGAATCTCTCTGTAAAACACAAAAAACGTCCTCCCATGGATTAATCCTAGACACAAGTCTGTGCAGGAGACGAACAGCATTCCAACAGTGCTCTCGTACTGTAACTATCAATTATTAAATTCTGTGATCTATTTTCTATTACTCTTTTTTGCCTCAACTCAGTCTTTCCACACCTCGTGATCGGGTATTTTCAGGTGTTTCTCCTCAGTTTTTTTTTCTTCAGTCTGTCTCAGCTAATCTCTAATGAGTGTAAATCTGTCACCGCACAAGTTGTGATGATCCATTTTTTACAACATTGACTCATACAAGTAAATCCCTTTTTTTTTACCAGTCAGAGCGAGAAAATGGGAGAGAGAGTGAAAGTCAGATAGAGATTGGAGTGAAAAGGAGCGAGGGCTCGTGCACTTTACCATCAGAATTAAATCATTTTTGCAAAGCTCGAGATGAACAAATAACATAACTTCCTCCCACCCACTGGTTTATTTCTCATCCTCTCTTCCAGCCAATAAATAGACCTACAAACCTCTTTAGCAGCACCATCAGCCCTCTCCTACACACCATTATTCCCTCTGTCACAATCAAACCCCCTTACAGCCATTACTCTCTCCACACCTTACACTCCCCCATCCACTTCTTGACATCCTCTCATTCATCTACCCCCTATGTCCTGCATCCACCCCCTATCGTTTCTCTATGTGGTCATTTTACCCATAACCTTCCCTTTGCCCCTCTGATGTCCTAATTATTTTCCTCTCCACCCTCCCCTTCCCACTTATAGTTCTTACCATCTCCCACCAGCTGCAGCAGGGCCAGGTCAAGAGGACGTTTCCAGCGTGAGTTTTTGTGCAGGGCGATACCGTAGCCTGTGGTGGCAAAAACCTTCCCCGAGCCTATGGTCATCACCTTGGAAAAAGGACAGTGTTCAGATATTTAAAGAAAAATGACAGAGGCAAACATATATGTGGAGGTTGCAGTGTGTGAGCTTTTGTGAGTTAGTCCTCACCTTACAACCTTCGTCCTTCCTGGCCATATAGTTCAATACTGCAGCATCATAAATAAAAGCATCCAGCTTCCTGTAAAGGGATCAAGGGAAAATTCATTCATCATTTAATGGGGAGAGAGTGAGCAGAGGGATGGAGAGACCGGCTGAAGCAGGGGAGGAGGTGTAAAGGTGGATCTTTGCGATGTACTTGGGAAAGCAGGCGCGGTGGAGAAGTAGCCTGGCACACCGGCACACAATGATAGAAAGGGCATACAAAGTTAAATCATAACAAGAAAAAGGAGGGAAGGGTGGAATAGTAAAGCAGGCTTGGCGGAAAGATGGAAAACACAAGGAGAATATAATAAGGCAGAGATCAGGGAAAGATGTGTGAGTAAGAGTTAGTGGCAAGGTGGTGGAGGAGGCGGTGGAGAGCAGGAGGATGGGGATTTATATGGTGCGAAGAGCGCAGTGACAGGGAGAGAGAGGGAGAGGGGGGAGATTTACACACTTCAGGGGGAAAAGACATGGGATAGAGCCAGAGAGTGATGAGGATTATAAAGTTTAAATACAGACACGCAGAGAAAGCACACTGGGCGGGGAAAGAATGGAGCAAAATGAAAAAGGGAAGAAATGAGGAGATTGGAGGGCAGAAGATGGGTAAGAGGAAGGGAAAGATAAGCACTAAGTAAGAGAAATAAAGACAGCAGGAGAGATGCAGGAGTTTCTCACTTTTTGTGCATGTTAACGCCAAGTTATAATTGTGGTGGCAAAGCAATGGGGAGGGTGAAACGATGACAGAGGCTTAGGATAAAGTAAACTGGGATTATCCAACACATGACGGGTGATTGAGATTCTACTAGAAAGTGGAGAGAGTAATGCTGCTTGCACTGTGTGGGAGGGTGGAGATAGCAGTGAAGGTGTAAAGGTGAGAGAATCAGTAAGAGCGACAAAAGATGTAAACGTGATGTGACTGGGTTGAAACGAGCGCCACACAGAGCACATCATAGCCTGCTGGTACAAAAATGAGAAAAAAAGACTAAAGATTGATTTGCCAAAGATAAAAGCATATTAATAATTATCTGAATGATGGTTGATGCACATAAATAGTTTTTGTTGAATGTATCTTGTGATAACATTGTATTATCAGTTGTGAAAGATCTGATTACAATTGGCTTGTCATGTTAGAAAACATTTGAGTACCAATATAGTATGACCATGGTTCATCTGTAAAACACTGGAAATCTGCATCTACTCATCTAAACAATCGTAGATTGTTTTTGAGCAACAGAATAACATTTCATTAGCCAAAGCATTGTTAGTTAAATCATAGGGTCACTTCACACCTGAAACTCCGGACTATTGGACCAAGGTTCATGTCTTGGTTCACATTTGTTAGTTTTGTTTGTGGCATTGGCATGTTGTTAATTATGCTACTGTATCGTAAAAAATACACTTTTCCCTTCATTAATTCTGTTGCCACTGTAAAAACATTGTGGTATTACTACCAGCAAAATTAACATCCTTTCGTTAAAACATTAAAATTGTCCTGAAGCAATCTTGCGAGCTGCTTCGACTTCTTTCCCATCTTCTATTGTTCAATGCTGTCTCAACTTCCTTAGTCCGAAAGGCCGAACTATCCAAAAACTATTTTTTAACCCTGCAAATAAACTGAACTTTTGGTAGGACTGATCCACTGATTTGGACGCTGGTCCGAGGAACCTTTCACACCTGTTTTTTTGGTTTGGACTAAACTGAAAAGTCTGAAGGCCCATGCCAAAGAAAGTAGAAGTGAAAGCGCCTTAAATCTACTCATGACAGGACTATTTCACCATTTTCATTTTTGGCTAATGCGATTGCTTTGCTTCTGTTTGCCTCTATTTCAGTTTAACCCTTTTTGCAGTGACAACCACTTCCTGAAAATAAACCTTTAAAGGATGATTGGTTCGTTTTTCTGTTTTCTTATAAAGGCTGTATATTGAGTTGGCCTTTTGAAGAAAGGCTGCTTGTTTAGTGAGATTCATCAGTACAGAATGGCTGCTGCATCTCATGTCCCTCAAATGTTTCCTTTTCAACTTGAGGGTCTATCCTCAATCATTGTTATGAGCATCTTGGTTGTTGGTATAGTTGTTGTACAGTGTCTTATAAGTTTTTAAAGCAAAAATTATTTCATATGTAAAGTAGGCCACAATATAGTTTTATGTCTGCCTGAGGAAAGTTTCAATGGATACTACTAGAAAGAAAAAAGGAAAGATATGGAGAAAGGCAAACTGACCCGGTCTTGAGGTTGAGTATGGCATCCTCCACTCCCCTCTGGTTATATTTGCCCATGTACTGGTGCATGTCTGGGTAGTTGGAGCGGATATTCTTTTCTGTGCTTCCGTTGGGCACCGTGCCAAACTTGAGAGGTGGGTACTGCTCCTCGGGATGTTGAAACTATCACAGCAAAGGAAGGTGAGAGAGAAAGATGGAAGGGGCATGAGACACACCAGGCTGTGCACCAATCTGTCTGACCTATTTCTGTCCACTTTCCAGACCAGCTTGCAATAGTCCATGCACAATCACATCTTTGAAAAGAGACCAGTCCGTGGATTTAAAGGAGTATTTAGCACTGTCTTTTAAAGTATTTAGGAACTGTGGTAATTTAGTTATGTTACATGAGATTTTATTCATTTCTAAATTCCTGTGCTTTAATCAATTTAACATTCAAATGCATGGGATTTGGCTCACTCTAAGACTTTAATTCTCCTTCGGCTCTCTCCACTTAATCAGTATTCAAGCTACGATGTACCTTCTTGTCCGAGAGGCCTGACACAGTGTCAATGTACTCCTCCTGGATCATGAAAGCGGCCAGGTTAGCAGTGTAGGAGGCCAGAAAGATGACGGCAAAGAAGGCCCAGATCAGCACCATGATCTTGCTGGTGGTTCCTCTGGGGTTCTCCACTGGCACAGAGTTGTTGAAGACAATGGCCCATAAAAGCCATACAGACTTTCCTATAGTGAAAGTAGAGCCTCCAGCCTCTGCCCACAATGATGGAGGGAAAAAAGAATGAGAAATAAAGAAAGATGTTTGAGTGTAATCAGTAGTGGTAATATTATTTTTGTAGATGGCACAAGAGTGTATTCAGTAGAATTTGACTGCAGATGATGCAGCAGATTCAAATTATACTTTCATGAATGATCCGTAAAATTGGTTTACTGTATAAGAAAATATCTCGCCGGCTTTTTGACACCAAAGCTCGTAAGGCAGCAACTATAGGTTTCAAGGATGGCAATTTTCATTCCCGCTGAGTGATCTTACAGACGATTAAAGCACATGGTTTAAATCAACATTCAAAGGTCTCAGACACTCCTGCTTGTATATGACGGGAGCAAAGGAGGAAGGAAGCGGAAAGATAAGAGTGAATGAGAGGGATATATGAGAGGATGACAGAAGGCTAAAATTATGTAGAGCACAGCAATCATGCAGTAAAAGAGGCGAGTCAGGCTGAATATTGGCATCAGGGGTACTGAATATCACAGGGGTACAAACGATGCTGTTGAATAATAAATAGCTGCTTTAATATCAAGAAGACTTGGACGCAGTTCAATATACTATTTTCCCCACTTACAGTCAAAGACTCAAGTCTGACCATCACTTCATTTTGAATGTAACAGACACTAAGAAAACAAATTTAATTGAAACAAAAAACTGGACATTGAAATTTCTTAACCACATTTCAGGAGTGTGTTAAGTGTCCATTTGATCTATGTGGCAATGGAGACACGGTGCAGGCAGAGCCATCTTTCAGGCTTGGAGAAACAGACAGCTTAGACCCATCACTCACTCTTGCCATTCTGGAGACTGCGGTTGTAGCCCACAGGGCTGAAGAACTCAAAAATAAAGACGGTCACAGCGACCACAGTCAGGCACATGACGAACATCATCACCCACACTGCTGGGCTGTAGGGTTCTTTAAAGGAAAACAAAAAAGCACATAACATAATTAGTTCTTAATGTTTGGTATCACACTAGTTTATTTTATTATAATATAATTATTCTTGTCAATAGAATGGAAAAGGATGCTTCAAGTCTATATAGTAGACATATATATATATATATATATATATATATATGTGCTGTGATAAAAGTGACCATTGGGGAAATCGCACAGTATTCTCCATAAGTCCATAAACACTGTGTTTCTTTTTTACATCATCTCACTGCAGTCTATAGGCCAATAACACTACTCTCCCGCTGGAGCCTTGAGACTGCTGACAGAGTGAAACTATAAGTTGTGAAGACACAGGCAGCTAAGAAAAAGTAACGGCTAATTTAAATGTAAGGACCAGCAGCCAAACGCTGAGGTGTTTTATGCAAACTCAACGCTTTACAATTAGATTAGGTCCTGCACGCCACTTAGCCTGCCTCCTGTAAATAGAGCCTCTTACCTAAGAAAGCAGATGGTGATACAGTTCCGTTGCTACGGGATACCATGACACTGATCCCGGTCTCCACAAAAGGGACTGAAAAATCCACAACCTCTGACCGCTCCTCATTGATAGTCAGCGAGCCAATAGCCATGTCCGCTCGCTTGTAAACCACCTGAAGGGGACAACAGAGAAATATAATCAAAGGTTATTCCTGTGGAGGTTATGGAGAGACAAAGACCTTCCTCAACAGTCCAGAGAGGTTTGTTTCCAGGTGAGACAGTGACATTTCTGCACCCTGATCCTTCGTACAACCTTGGATGAGAAGGGCCAAGGATAAAGTCCGGTACAAACAGCGAACGTCTCTTGGGCCCTTCATCCCTGTGCCACCATCTAGAAAAACCTGGAAACCGCTGTGTCGGCTGATTGTACAAGTGAAATGTTAATCTACATTAGACATGGCACATCCACTCTTCAGAGCAAATCAGCAGAAAAATGAAGCGAAGCAGAAAGCAAAGCACCCTCTCAACTTTGCCAAGTCCCTGGATTACCTGATCAAAGAATGGCGGGCTGATCAAAAGACTGACATGAGTTTGGGAAAACAAAATTTACTTGGACTTTCACATGTCAAAATAGATTATTATAACTGATCACACGGGAGAGTGCAGGGCAACTGTTTTGGAGCCCATGACAACTGGTGTTTGGCAAGTTCCCTCTGGGACAAAGATAGAAACAGCGTGGAGCTTCAATGAAACAGCAGCCCCCATATCGATCGCAGTATGTGTGTGAGCATGTGTGTCGGTGTGTCTGTTTGTGCTTGTTTTTTATTTTTCCGCCAGCAGGTTGTGTCTTTTCTTGATGGGGGATCATGAACCTCAGTGAGTATTGCCAAGAAAATATCAAGGACTAATCGCAACTAGCCAGGAGTGTCAGACAGCGTGAGTGCTGTTAGCGTGTCTCAAAGAGTGTCTCTGCAGATAAATACACTGTAGGGATGTCTATGTAGGAAGACTAGGGAGACTATGTGTTCAATACATGTGTTATGCTTCAATTAAATTTGTGTAACGGTTTCTTTTTGGTCTCTATTACAGGTTATGTTTGTGTGTGTGTCTGTTTGTGTGTGTGTGTGTGTAGTGGCAGTGATTAAGTGGCCATACCTCTCACAGCAATTAATGTGATGCACATTTACCCAGAACATAGGCACACGGGTGGGGGAATGCAACCTGTCGGCTGAAAATGCAACACACACACACACACACACACACACACACACACACACACANCACACACACACACACACACAAAGACACACACAAAGACTTGCCTCTCCAATCATGCCGTTCCAAACTCCATCAATTTTCTTCCCATGTTTCCCATTGGTCACGAGGTAAAGGTCATAGGTGAAGCCAACAATCTTGGCCAGTCTCTTGAGGATGTCAATGCAGAAGCCTTTGCAGCACTGCTTCATGGGAGCCACGCCCTCATGGATGGCACTGGAGAGAGTTAAAAGGGAGGAGGGGGGGGGTAGACCTGTCATACAAAAAGCTTAAAAAAACTCATCCTTATTGAATTGTAACAAAGTTGGATGAATTCCAAAATGAAATAGAAAGGACATGAAACAAAAGTGAAAGGGAGGAGGTACACAGGAGGATATGGACACAGACAGGGAGGATTGTGGCCGAGCCCTCGGTGACAGGCTTGATCGACCAGTATAGGACAGCTGCCGTCATCCCTTCGGAGGCTGATGAACCTTAAAGCTCCACTGTGGTCATATCTGATTCAGACCCCTGAGTAATTCCACTGATCCTCTGGAGAGGAGTCTGTTATTGATCATGGTCAGGGAGTGAAGAGGCCACAGTTTTGATAGGTGATTGATGTCACCTCGATTGGATGGCATCATGAGAGCTCTGCAAATCCATTCATTACAGCGGTAAATAAAGTAGAGAAGCTGCTACTTTTTTATTACTTACTAATATTTTACTTACTAACCCTACAATGCTGTCCAGATTTTTTTTCAAGGTTTTTTCTTTTGGTGAATTCAAACCTGGCATTGAGGGGTCGTCTGCAGGGCACTGAGTCACGGATGCAGGTCCCGGATGCAGGGTCTGCCAGCTCCACGATGACAAATGGCCTCTCCTCCAGAGTGACAACACGCAGGTGCTGGGCATCATCAGGTGGTTTAAGGAATGGCCCGTAGCGGGACCAGGCTGGGTATCGGAGCCTCAGCACGCCATTCTCCCACCAGCCTACCTGGGGGAACAGGAGAAAGAAACATCAGAGTGTGGCGTAGTGGAGCATAATATTACCACAATCATTATTTTCTTTTTTTTTATCATTGAATGCATACTGGTTTTCTCCATAATGATAAGCAAAACCAGGTCTCTACAACACTAATGAACACAAACACATTTGCTGCATCTCAAGATATTGTGAAAGGTGAGGTGGAGGAAGAGGTCCTTTTTATTATTATGTCGTTTACGTAATGCTTGTTAGATTTGGTATTCAGGTCTGTTATGTAGCAAACCTAGAAATGTTATTTAGGTTTGGTGCAGACAGGACCACCATGGAAATAAATGTATGTTGTGTGTGGTTGTTCTTCGAGGAATGCTGGGGCAGCTGTGGCACAGGAGGAAGAGCGTGTCGTCCACTAATCACCGCTAACCCGAAAGGTCGCTGCATGGTTAGAAACCAGGTGCCTCCAGTCTGTGTGCCCAAATGTCCTTGGGCAAGAAACAGAACCCCCACAATGTCCCCAATGGCTCTGTATGCTCTGTGTATAAATGTCATGTGATTAAAAAAAAAGCACTGTGCATAGAAGTGCTGTAAAAATGGGTGAATATGACTTGTACTGTCAAGAGCATTTAATGGTAAATAAGACTAGAAAAGTGCTATATTATTACAATCCATTTACCATTGGTGTGTTTAGTCAAATGCTGTGTTTTGACTCTGAGTGTCTCCAATGACAACCCAAAATATGAGCTAGAAAGTGCGTCTCTATTCAGTATTAGGCAGTAACTCAATATTTCACCCGTTAACAGCTCTATAGGAATTGCTCACTACATCCCTGTGAGTGTCTTTATTTTTTTACCAACAAACTCAGAAATACCATTTCGAGGCCAACACAGTATAAACAAACATACAACCAGCGGACAGGTCACACAGAGTCTATCTCACAATAATCTCATTCATTCAAGTACATTCATGCAAGTTTTTGATTGTTTTTTAATTTCATTTTCAAAAAAATAAAGGATGGCTTAT